TTCTAAGTCGCTCATCGAAAATTAGAAATTTTGAAGATCATAGAAAAACCCATTAAACTTATAAAAACGCCTCACCTCTCATTTGCATAAAATCTAGCTACAGCAATTTGTAATAATACCCTCCAGACGGTCAGCTTAGAAATTCTCGTTCCCTTATCAGCCCGTCCAGCAAATTCCCGCATAAACCCCCATAAACTATGAAAAACGGCAATTAAGGGAAGGGTTAGAATTCCAAAGAGCATCTGTATCTCAGATATTAGTTCAAAGATCAAGATCTCACCTCAAATATACCTAAAAAATACTGCTGATTTTCTGGGTAACAACATTTGAATGCATAATCTCATGAAAGGGGCCCCCAACCTGTTTCTGGCGCTGAAAAGGGCTGAGCTGGCCTTGTTTCCACTAATCCCTATTCTTGATCCCCCATTCATTGGTTATTTCGAGCGAAAGAAACAACCGTATCCTCTTCTACACGTAGGTGCAAAAAAAGGCACCCAGGAAGTCTTGTAATCGGCTGCCTCGTTATATTTTGCACCAAACGGAAGTTCCAGGTTTCGAGGGACCATGACATTCCGCCAGCGACAGTTCCGCCAACGCGGAACGACAATTCCGCCACAGGCGACATTTCCGCCACTCTATTAAAACGACTTTTCCGCCAAATCGGGGTCAAAAAAATATAAAACCTTCCAAATACAATATTTTCTCGGTGTTTTCGGTATTTACAAATTCATTTAAGATAAGTAAAGACTAGTAAATAAGAAATTACGAGGCGGAGGCTATTTTAGGCATCATACAGGACTTTGTACGGTTTGCGCGACAACCTGTTTTCAAGCAAAAAACCATCATAACTTGGTATTTTCTTCGGAAATGTCAGTACTCGACAGAAAAGCGTTTAGGGCTATTACAAGCATGGAACAGCCCATTGTGCCATTTCTGACTAGAACAAGTCTGCGTATTTCGCTCATGGAAACCTCAAATAGTAGCTACAACATTTCCTTCAATCGAAGTAATGTTGATTTACTTCGTTATAATGAGAATCTGCAAGAAAAACAAAGAAACAGGTGAAACGAGCATTCCAGGAAGAAATCGTTCATCGACCGAGAACAGCCAGAAGAACGCACAAAATAGCCCTCCTGAATCGTAATTTGTTCTCTACTAGTCTTTACTATCTTAAATTAATTTGTAAATACCGAAAACACCGCGAAAATATTGTATTTGGAAGGTTTTATCTTTTTTTTTGGCCCCGATTTGGCGGAAAAGTCGTTTTAATAGAGTGGCGGAAATGTCGCCTGTGGCGGAATTGTCGTTTTCCGCGTTGGCGGAATTTACGTTGGCGGAAATGTCAGGTCCCGTTTCGATGCGAAAATTCGATGACAGGGTCCCAAACCGCGCAAATACGTTTAGTAGCAAATATCAATTTAAAATAACTCCAAAATCGACTTTATAAAGGCTTTCGTTTCAAAACATACCATCGTTCAGCATGGCCGATTACCACATTCAATGTTTCTGGTTGCATAGGACGTCTTCAGTCGGCTAGGAACGTGCGATTAATAGGGGTCGCCATCGGTCTGATGGGGGCGCCTCCAATCCTTCCCCAGACGAGCCCACTTCTTGACCCATTTGGCGCAAGGAAAACTCCGCTTCCCGGCTAGGCCAAGTCAAATCCCATCACAAACGACACTGACTTTGGGTAAATCGACCATGCTGAACACGATGGTGATGTTTTGAAACGGAAAAAGCCTTAGAAAAAGTCGATTTTTGGAGCTATTTGAAATTCAATATTTAAGCTACTAAACGTCATTTGCGCGGCTTGGGACCCTGCTCATCGAATTCTACAGCATCGAAAACACTAGGAAACATTCCGTTTGGTGCAAAATATAACGAGGTAGCCGAGTTACAAGAGCTTCCTGGGTGTTGCCTTCTTTTTGCGCGCTACTGTATCCGGATTTTTATGAAAATCAAAGTCGAATTATTGAGGTCGGGGATGAACGGAACACAAGGATTAGGGATAGATTAAAGACAAAAATAAATTTAGATAGGTTGGGGAGGAATTGATTACGGTAAAAAGGGAGAGTCAGGCTATTTTATTTCATCTTTGCTGTTTAAAAACGATTTCTTTAAAATATAAATCATAGCAACTTTCTCCCCCTTTTCCCTTCTCCCCGACTTTCCTCTAAAACATTGCACAAGTCTACAGTATTGTGGCAAACAAATTGCAATAAAAACGATTTTCCATACCTTCGTCCATTTTTCTCGACCTCCAAATAGCAGCAAAATTCTATAGACTTTTAGAAGCCTAAGGAGAGCCCGTAGAGGTAGGCTTGTTGCGGAAAGAATGAGGTGTGTGCCCTGGTGTGTGTATTGCCGGCTGTTTCAGAGGCTCAGCCTCCACCCCTCTCCTCCTTCTCCTCGTTCTCCCCCTAGCCATTCCTAGAGCCACCGCTTTCTCACGCCTAACTTGCGAGAAGGGCCTTCTCACCCCCCGTCCTTCAAGCGGATATACCCTCAGGGCACTTCTCGAAAAGGAGCAGCAGCCAGTGCCCGAGCCACAAACCCTATTACATTTAGGGGATCATCTCCATTTTGGGGAGATGTGGAGGCTTCTTCTTCTCGGCCGAGATCCGGGATGAAGATAGGATTTTCGGCGAGATCAGATGAACGCCATCTTTCTGGCCAAAGCACAGAATTTTTTAAGCTAGAGGATGGGGTTTATTGTCTAGAAAATTCCGAGAATTTCCCCACGTTCTCTAAAGGTATATCAAGGCTACCCCAAAAGGCTCCCCAGATTCATGGAAATCCCTCAAAAAAAGCATTTCCGGTTGAGTTCAGAGATCTCCTTAACGCAGTATAGATAAATCTCTTATCATCGCCTAAAAATCAAAAATATTTCCCAAAAAATGGCTGATAGATTGCCTAGTCAACAGATTAGTCGCCATTTCTACGACTTTCTTTGTAAAAAAATACTACAAACCAAGCTAGAAAGCTATCTACAATCAATGATAGTTCCAAAAGAATCACTGCGAGATTGCCTTTCTCATTTCTTTGCAATATTTACCGTCACAAAAAATTTCCCCATGACCATCGACCATATGAGGTCCGCATTGCAACAGCACACGCCCAACCATTTCTTTTGTCCATTGGCCCCATACGGCACCCCGAATTCACTCCAAAAAACTGAGACGCCACCCGAGAGGAAGCAGCCCGAATGTAAACAAAAGTCGGTTTAATTTTGACACCGCCTCGGGGGAGAAGCCACTGGGAAATGATCTCATTGCGGCCAATAGTAGACGCTCAGTGGGTTCAATGAAAAACCAATGTAGCTGGAGGGTAGAAGAAATGAAATTAAAGTCTGCAGAAACCGTAGGAACGTCGGAAAAAGCGCGGAAAAAGTGGAAGCTGCCCGGGGTTGAATGGGATGGAAATCGGTGGGTTCGGGGTAGGGCTTTAAAAATAGGCGTTGCAACCTTTATAAAATCATAAAAATTTGTCATTAAAAAACTGCTTAAAAGCATTTCTCCTCTTTATCCTAGCAAAATTAGGTCCTGAGAAAAAGCTGTCCCCACCCCGATAATGCGAAAGGACCAGAAATTTATTTAATCCCTCAAAATCCCTAACAATACGCTCCTGCCCATACTAAAATGGCATTAGGTGCAAGCGAAAATTCGTGGTTTTTACGTCGTCACCACAACAACGGAACACTTCAATTCGAGCACCCACTCGCCGACCATCGGGTTAAACGGCCACAAGCAAAAAAAAGAATGAAAGCCCGGCCAATTCGAGCTGATGAATTGGGCGGCGGAGGTGCGGCGGTCGTCGTCTACATACATCATCAGGATATGGATGGGGTGCTGCGGGCACACGGTAAACACCGAATAAATTAACGCCCAAAAACGTGAGATCTGCTAAGTTGGTGTTGGGTGGTGGTTGGGACATTGGTTTGCAACAGAAAGAGATAAACCAAATTCATTAGGCTTTTTTTATTGAAAAATACTCTATTTCAAACTTTCTCGAGGCTACTGCAGATCATATAGCCTTCGAAAAAAAGCTATCCACATTTTTAAACTGCCACCATATGGCCAAAACTCGGAAATGCCAAGCTCAACGTCCGTTCACCCCCATTAAATGACCATATAATGGCCTTAGAAAGGAATCATGCGCCAAAATGGCCTCGAAAAAGTAGCAAAAACCGCGGAATTGGATCCACGCAAACACCTATTAAGCAACATTCCCGACGGCCTAGAGCCACCCGCTCAGCCTCAGCCAATTGAGAACCATGTTGACATATACGATGAAGATCGAGACTAGACTAACAACTTTGAAGCGACTAGACTCTTTTCATAATAGCAAGATTTCCTAGCATAAAAAGAGTGCCATTTAAAGCAAACAACGAAACGCATAGAACTCTGATTATTTGGAAGTTTGGACTACACCGGCAGTCCACCAAAGTTTGTTGACATCCGAATTGGCGGATCAAAGGTGGGCCACCGGGAGGAATTCCGAATTAGCGCACGTTCCGTTGGAGCGTAGGGGCGAAGGCGCGAAGACCCCCCTTGGCCCCTGAACCCTGCCCCAATAAATAATGGCTGAACGCGCGGTGAGGCATAGATTCTGACCCCCACCAGAACATAGAAATAACAATGCAACAAAGCTTCTATTCACCCTTTAACTACCAAGCCAAACCCACCACCCAACGAAACAAACGTACAACCCCTGAAGATGTATCTGCCAAGCATTCAATTACGGCGAAATGGGAACCTCCCCTCGCCACACCGCGCGACTCTAGACGAAAAGCGGAAAAGGATCCACCCCACCGCAATAAAGCGCATCACCCGCTTTCAAAACAAAGAAACGAAGCCTCCCAGTACCAGCGTGACTCGAAAGCCAAATAAAGTACTAAGTTTATACCAGTCACATGTTCCAAAACGACCGAAATTAAAAAGATTTTCACCGGCTAATTAATCACAATGCAAAAAGAAAACAAACGCGATACGTACAAATTAATGGTAGTCGACGAGGGTGGCCTTGGCGACTTCTTGGGCCTTGTCCTTGCCCTGGAGCGCCTCGACGAGCTTCAGTCCGAATTGGAAAGCAGTTCCGGGGCCTCGGGAGGTGATGAGCTTCTTATCGACGACGACGTCTTGCTCGAGGAACTTATAGCCGGCACCTTCGATTCCTTCACGCACCGAAGGGTAGGCGGTTACGGAAGCTCCCTGTAAAGAAACATAAATAAAAGGGTTCAAAACAGAAAACTGCAAAATACTAAAACTCACAGGCGAAATCTTGTGTGCTCGAAGGGCGTCCGGGGCGGCACAAATCGCGGCCACGAAACGGTCGCTATCGGTGTACTTGTGGAGCAGCTTGCCCACTTCCGGGCACTCTCCGTACTTGCTGCTGCCGGGGCCACCGGGGAGGACGATCATGTCGAAGTTCTTGTCCTTGACATCAGCGAACGCGGCGTCAGGCGTGATCTTGGTGTCGCGAGCGCAATTGATGAGTCCGCTTCCGGCCAATCCAGCGGTCGTAACCTAGAAACGAGAGAGTTGCAAAAGAAAAACCCAAAATTGGCCGTAAGTCCTCGAAATATAGCAAATGATACTATCGACAATATAAAAACGACGTTGCAACAAACCTTGACATCACCACGACGCAAAATGTCCATCGTAATAACGGCCTCCATCTCCTCGGTGCCATCAACGAGGAGCACCAGCGCAGATTTTCCGCTCATTGTCGATCGAGTAGTGCTGACGAATCGTCGGGCAATCGGTACGGCAACTTTCTGAAGAAGAACCATTATTGAGCCTTGAACCGGTGAATTGCTGCAAAGGATCGATTAGAGTAGGCTAGCAAGCGAGAAAAACAGAAAGCGTTGGGTGGGGCCACTGGTCAACAAGAGGGCAAAACAACATGCGGGGAAAGAGGCGCAGGGCGTTGAAAACGAACACCAACTTTCAAAACAAGCTGGAAGTACAATTTCGGTCATAATAAACCACCATTGATAAAGTTCGATTAGATTTGAATTCGAAAGTTTTAATGAGAAACGCGCCGAATGCAAGTGGAAAGCGCAGGGCGTCCGGGTGCCAAAAAAGTTCGGGAGGTCTAGTAGACTATCCAATTACCAGCGGGGGAACACCCTGCAAAGCTTTCCGCCCACTAAATAGCCAGTGTGCCAACGAAACCTGTAGCTCTGCTGATATGTATTCATGTGCACGCAACTTTCCAAATATCTCCAGAACGGCGGTAATAAATTATTTTATTTTCAAGAAAAACGATAAAGCTCAAATTTAACGAACGAGATCAATCGGTAACCGGGATAATTAGTCGACTTCCTCGATGGTCGGTCCTCCAGCGGGTCCGGCGCCACCAGGGGCTCCTCCTGGCGCTCCACCCGGCGCACCACCAGCTCCTTGGTAGAGGCGGGTGATGATTGGGTTGCAGATGGCCTCGAGGTCCTTCTGCTGGTGCTCGAATTCGTCCTTCTCGGCGGTCTGGTTAGAGTCGAGCCACTTGAGCACCTGAAAAACACAAATTAGAAACGGCCCTTCCGTTTGAATGTTGATTATAAAGCGGCGAATAAACCTAAAACATACCTCATCGCACTTGGACTCGATCTTCTGACGGTCCTCCTCCGAGAGCTTCGACTTGAGCTGCTCATCCTCGAGCGTCTGCTTCATGTTGAAAGCATACGACTCGAGTCCATTCTTGGCTCCGATGCGGTCCTTCTGGGCGTCGTCGTCGGCCCTGTACTTCTCGGCATCAGCCACCATCCGCTCGATCTCTTCCTTCGAGAGACGGCCCTTGTCGTTGGTGATGGTGATCTTGTTGGCCTTTCCGGTCGACTTGTCGGTGGCAGACACGTTCAGGATGCCGTTGGCGTCAATGTCGAAGGTGACCTAAAAAACTGGAGTAATACAGGTACATTTCCAAACTTTAAAGCTACAGGAATAAAAACCAACCTCAATTTGTGGCACACCACGGGGCGCCGGCGGGATTCCGGAGAGCTCGAATTTGCCGAGCAGGTTGTTGTCCTTGGTCATGGCGCGTTCACCTTCGAAGACCTGGATGAGCACACCGGGCTGGTTGTCGGCGTAAGTGGTGAAGGTCTGCGATGTCTTTGTCGGAATGGTAGTGTTGCGCTTGATGAGGGCAGTCATCACGCCACCAGCTGTCTCGATACCTGAAAAATAGAAATAATTAGGTGTCGCAACAAAATAGAGACACTAGTCACAAAAGTTTACCCAGTGAGAGCGGGGCAACGTCGAGGAGGAGCAGATCTTGCACGGTCTCAGACTTGTCTCCGGAGAGAATGGCGGCCTGGACGGCAGCTCCGTACGCGACGGCCTCATCGGGGTTGATCGACTTGTTGAGTTCCTTGCCGGAGAAGAAGTCCGAGAGGAGCTTCTGGACCTTGGGAATACGGGTGGAGCCTCCGACGAGGACGATGTCGTGGACGGACGACTTGTCCATCTTGGCGTCACGGAGAGACTTCTCGACGGGGTCCATGGTAGAGCGGAAGAGATCAGCGCAAAGCTCTTCGAAGCGGGCACGAGTGATGTTGGTATAGAAGTCGATGCCCTCATAGAGGGAATCGATCTCGATCGAAGCCTGAAAACAAAACGTTAGTAAGGAAGTACGAAAGCCACCAAATCGACCAAGACTAAATTTACCTGCGACGAAGAAGAAAGGGTCCTCTTGGCGCGCTCGCAAGCGGTGCGCAGACGGCGGAGGGCACGGGCGTTCGAGGCGAGATCCTTCTTGTGCTTGCGCTTGAACTCGGCGATGAAGTGGTTGACCATGCGGTTGTCGAAGTCTTCTCCTCCAAGATGGGTATCTCCGGCGGTCGACTTGACTTCGAAGATTCCATCCTCAATGGTGAGGATCGACACATCGAAGGTGCCGCCACCAAGATCGAAGATGAGGACGTTGCGCTCGCCGCTGGCCTTCTTATCGAGACCGTAAGCGATGGCAGCAGCGGTAGGCTCGTTGATAATTCGGAGCACGTTGAGGCCAGCGATGGCTCCGGCATCCTTGGTGGCTTGACGCTGAGAATCGTTGAAGTAGGCAGGGACAGTGACGACGGCATCCTTGACGGTTGATCCAAGGAAGGCCTCAGCTGTTTCCTTCATCTTGATGAGCACCATGGAGGAAATCTCTTCAGGAGTGAAGGTCTTGGTCTCGCCCTTGTAGTCGACCTCGATCTTGGGCTTTCCTCCTTCAGCGGAGACGACCTTGAAGGGCCAGTGCTTCATGTCGGACTGGACGGCAGAGTCCTCGAACTTGCGGCCAATCAATCGCTTGGCATCTAAAAGAAAGTAAAGATAAATCCATAAAGTGCATACCGAAGACTGTGTTGTGTGGGTTCATGGCGACCTGGTTCTTCGCCGCATCTCCGATCAAGCGCTCGCTGTCGGTGAAGGCGACGTACGAGGGAGTGGTGCGGTTTCCTAAAAATCTAACATTTGAGATTCGAACAAATAAATTACCTTGATCGTTGGCGATAATTTCGACCTTGCCGTGCATGAAGACACCGACACAAGAGTAGGTCGTGCCGAGATCGATGCCGACGGCATTGTGCTTCGTGGCCATTTCTAGTTTTTGTGTGTCTTGAGTTTATCTGAAAAAAGACGTTGAGCAATCAGAAATTAGAGGAAAAAAGCGTCAGTGATGAGAAAAAATTCAGGAGAAATTCAGGCTTAGTCACAGGCGGAGTGGTTGAATCTATAGCTAGCAAATCAGAAAAAAAAACTGAAAACTTCAGAAAAGCATAGCGGGGTGAAGAAGAGATAATCGAACAGAAAACTGTCGAAAACAACCGAACGGAACAGTAATATACCTCCCCGTTATCAAAAGTGAGAAAATTTGCCGGAAAGGAAAAAATTCGCGAACGCTCGGGAAATCGAAGGTTCGGGAAGGGCTACCGTAGTCTAGCCTGATTGCGCAGGGGAGGAAGGGGGCGCGGGCTGGCTAAAGGGCACCCCGAGGCAAAGACTGTGGTTTCGCCCGATTCTTTTTATCAAAAATAAAATAAAATGACACCTTTAAACTAAAAATTAAATAAAATTTCGTTAGTAACATCCCATTTGTATGGCTGAACTCGGACAGGTTTGCTGCGAGATGTCGTTGAGCACATATGGCTGAAAATCTGCAAGGAAATTGTTTTGAGTGTTTTCTGCTCTTCAAACTGATGGCCCCGACGGGATCCATTCCCACCTAAATTTTATGCATATTGGCAAAAAGGGCCCCGCGCCACCTCATTCATCATCCACTACTCGACACCGCGGGGGGCACGCGAAAGAAGAGGGCACATCTTTGATCCACCGTCTTCAGAGGAATAAGCGGAGGACGTCGGAGGAAAAGACTTTAAAGGGGGGGGGGGCGCCGACGGCAGTGTCGACCCCCCACAACAATTGGCAAGAAGCCACGGGCGGAGAGCGCGCCCCGGGAGAGGCGCCTCTTTCCGCGCGTAACCTGACAGCCGTCGGCATCCCTTTAAATAACTAATAGCAGTGCTGCTAATAAATCAATATTAGCATGTTTAGCTCTTTTCTACCACTGTTGTTGGGCGCCTGTATCGGTAATAATTGGTAAAATTGTAAAAAGTATGATTTCGCAACAGAGAAAGTAGGAAAGATCGAAGCTGGTAAATTTTAGGATTGCTCTTATCTCGTCGGTTACATCGTAATCCTAATATGACATTGGTCATTTCTCAGCCCTCGCCATGCGGGCAAGGCCATCTGCTTGGTGGGTAATTCCCCTTGATCGGCCTTTTTAGCCCCCGGGCTATTCGTCTTCTTTTGGCCGTTCGGACCATGCCAGATTCATCATTGTCTTACTGTAAAACAGGCGGACAAGGATTGTAGGGTAGAAGAGCGGGTGGTCGTTGGCGATGACACGATTTTTCTATGCGGCTAAACAGTTTTTAGTTGTAAGAATTAGTTAACAATTTCACGAAATTTCTCTAAGCGGCCGATTCCTTGGGAACCTGTTTGCTACCCGCTTGACCGCGTGAAATGCGTGAATTTACTGCCCACAAAATGAAAGGCCACCGCGGTGAATACGAGCCACTTATACAACTTCCCAAAAAAAGAGGTCACACCGCGAAATTTCATGATGGTCTTTCCTTAGCTTGCGAAATGGGACGGAATTGGACATTTTTTCTTCATTTCCCAAATTTTCCACAACCTATGACTATGATATGAATATTTATGGCTTCACAACGCAACATAGCCATTTAAAAAAGACCATGTCCCCCGTGAAATGTCCAGCCGTTCCTCTAGAAACCCCAGAAAAAATTCCCTCCAAATCCTCCCCGCCCAAAATCGCAGCTCCGGGCTCTCGGCAAGAACTTCCGTAAATGTTCCCAGCTGGGCTTTTTTGGGTGCCCTCGGCGCATATCCGCATATTCCCCGGGGAGAATCTGCGCCGGGCCTGAATGTGGCGATTGTTGTCGGAATCTTCGAAAATGGGCCTCGTGCTTCACCGCTTGGTGGGGGTAGTGTTTTTGGCTCTATTTGCCCGGCTATCAAGATGGCTCGATTTTGGTCTTGGTCAATTGGTGCTCAAACATCCGCATTACGCGCGCGTAGGATGCTTGACTTTTCGCGGGGGGTAGATCGGAATAGAGGATGCTAATATTTATATTCGACAGAACGATCTCCCTTTTTTTACCTCTTCGATTCTAAAAATACGAGTAGCAAGTAAATCAGGTTTTTCAGTGACTGGCTATCGAAAGCTACATGACGCGTCAAAACACGTATTATGGTGCGTCATGTAGCTGTCGATAAGCAGGTCATTTTTCGCTGTTCTTTCACCTTTAATGCTTTATTAATTGCACGGTAATTCTTTAATGCTTTTGTCCTGCTGCGAGTATAGTACAGTCATAAAAAGCACGTAAAACTAGATTAAAGGGGCCTCCTTTGTCATAGCAAAATATTGTAAAATCGCGGGTTTCAGCCGAATTCTCAAAGAATCTTTGCTAGCTGGCCACCATGCTCTCCATTCAAAAATCCGTGGGTTTTATAGCGTACTGACTTCAGGTTTAGAGGTATAAAAACCTTACATGGGCTTCCTTTCAAGCTATCACCGCCAATTCTTCAACATTCCGGAAGTATACCCCAAAATCTTTTCCATACTAAAGTGCCCCCAGCTATCATTTCGAAGTGCCACCACTCAACACCCCATGGGTACAATTTTGCGGGATTTTGATGGGTGTGAAACGGGCTTCTCGGTCCCCTCTGTCCACGTCCATATCGCCATCATCATGCCGCTTCACTTGGCCGAGCCTCGGAGGGAGGGGGGGTGTAATTTGCATATGCAAAGAGAAGCCTGAAACTGGGCCCTAAGGGCACATTCACTTGGGACCCGGCCGGAAAAGAGGAGGGGACCATTTGCCACTTGCCACTCATCCACCATCGGGTGGTGGGTGGGACACGTTGTTGTGTGACAGTCGGATCATAGTATTTGCCCTGCGGTTTTGCATCAATTCCACACCTCTTGCAGGTGCTCCGAATTTCCGGGGCCCCTGAGATTTGCGCCCTTTTTGTTTACAATTTATCCAGATGGAACGGCCAAGAAAAAAAGTAGCGCCTTGGGGCTTGATGCTCAAAAAAAGCCGTTTTTAAGATTTCTTCAAGTCACATTTTTTTCCTTGCTACCCAAACCACCAAAAAAAACACCCCCCCCCACAAACCCCAACACCAACGCAAAACCCCCCCCCCACCAAAACCCCACCCCCCACACCCCGCACCCCCACCCCCCCCCCCCCCCACCCCCCACCCCCCACCAACAAACCCCACACCCACAACCAAAAACCAACAAAACACCCCCCCCCCCCCCCCAAACAAAACCCAAAGACCACAAAACAAACCACAAAAAAACCACCACCCCACACCCCCCCCCCAAACACGCCACCCCCACCAACAAAAGGCAGCCCAAAACCACAACCCCCCCCAAACCACCAAACAAAAAAAAACCCACTTTTCATCCCTCTTTCTCTTTACACCTACCCCACCTGCCCTTGTTAGGGTGCGAGGATTTTTATATCTATTATCGTTTCATCGTTTCCTCATAGATCCTTCTAAGGACTTTTTAATGCAACAAAAACAAGTTATTTCCTTGCATCATCTTTTTTGACGGTCTGGCATCACCTTGATATAAAACTCCACAATTTTCGGGACCTACCGGCGTTTTGTCAAGGTATTATTTACGTGCCAAACCCATCCCCGTTTTTTTAAAAGCGCCCATTTTTAGCAAACAAAAAAAAGAGGAAAATTGCTTTGGACCCAAGACCGGGTCATAGGGCCCGGGGGCCAATTTGGCCCTTCCCCGGCTTCAGGAACGGGCATTCCGAATGCTGACAGGTCGTTTCAAGGGGTTTTGGCGTTGTTTTAAAGTGTGAATTCGACACCGAAAAACGATTAAAGGGACCAGGCCGGCTTGATTTGCTAGGAAATTTCTGTTTTATCCCTTTAACTCGGCATTAAATCGCGTAATTGAATAAGTTCTCTTTTTGGCGCCACTTTCCAAGAAGCACAGTCACGTAAACGGCACTTTCTAAGAAAAAGCCCCGCTTCCTACCCGACCCCATATGTTGACTCACTGGCCCCTTGATTTACCGTCCAGTGTACCCCAGGGCCTTCGGTCAAAATGGCTCATTGTGTGGCCCCCAGGCCCCAGGGCCTCCCAGCTGTCTCTAGCTTTCTTTTTTGCGCCCAAATTACCCTCAATTAATCCCGGTTCCTTGACTCCCCCCCCCCAGGGACGCTGAATTTAAAGCGCCATTAGTGGTGGGAAAGGCCGGGGGGCGCCCTTTCCGGCCCCCCCCCCCCCCCCACTTCTTATTCGGCGGAACAATTCTTTCCGCCCTAAAAATAATTTGTTACATATAAATCTGTGGTTTATAGCAAACAAACAAATTCAAACGAAGTTTTTATGTACATTTTCCTTCCGCTTTGAACTGCCCATAAATCGCCAAGACGAACGCTTTTTTGGCCTAATCCAATTCTCGCGTTCCGCCCTTCGTCCAGCCGACGAATGCTTGGCGGGGCCGCATCCGATCCTCGGGCTTAAATTAATTATTTGACTGGGAATTGCTCTAAAATCCTTAAAATTTAAAATTCGTGGAGAAGGATATTAATTTCAAATTTTTCAGTCTTTTGCACCTATTTTAAAAACATTGAAGTTAAATTATGGTTTTGGAGTTTTTAAGTCAGTTTTTCGAAACATATAATGCCATATTTGTATATTGCTATGCTACTATGCATTCTATGGAGGATTTAACCGACAAAAACATAAACTTCATTGTTTTCGACCTGCAGCCATCTTTCATGCCTAAATGGGTTCTTTTTGAAGTGCTCGGTCGGTTTTTTTTCTAAAATTTCGCTACTGAACGTTAAATAATCGATTTCTATCCATGACTTTTCCGGGCCAATTTTTTGCCTAACCACGTTCCCGACACGTCCGCATTGGCCTCGTCCCTTTTTTGTGAGTGGCTATTGAAGGCCAGTGAGCCCCTTCTAGCCGTTTGTGTTCCCAATGCATAACCGAGGAGCAGGAGGCGAGCACCACCCCAGGCTCACGCATCGACGTATGCCTCAAGGCCCAGCATTCGCAACAAACAATCTTTCTTTTGCAGAGTTTTGGCCTGATTTTTGGTGGATATATTTATTTTTGGATTACTAATTATATTCAAACTTTTACAACTTTCTCTAAGGTCGGTGAGAAGTAAGCGAAGCTTCTCCTCCTCCTCCTCATCATCCCCATTCCTGATTAAGTCGAGTCCGAGCCGGCGAGCCAACGTCTTTATGTGGCCGTAAACTTTTTCCCTTTTCCGCTCTGCTCTTCCACCCTTGGTCGAGCCAACCAATTAGGATACTACTCATTGCCACAACGCGAGTAGTGCTCTGTTTCCCCTTTCGTTGGATAAAATGATGATTCTATTACTTTTTCTGAGACGTACTTAACTTAATTTTTGCTTTAGAAATGATGGACTGCGCAGCGTTATGCCTCTTTACAGCGGCTGTCAATTTTCGCGCAGGCCCAAATACGATGGTAAGTTTAGAACGAAAAAGCGTCCTTTTCAAGGCTTCAGACTTTAAAAATATCATGTTAAGAGTTGTGACTACTGCGTGGATACCCGATCCACATATAAAGATTGCTTTGACAACGTGCTCGAATGTGCCTATCGGGACCCGGCCGGCCTGATCCTTTGCCTAAACACCTACGAAAATATCGGCTCCGGAGCGCTGGAAAAATCGACAAAATGTTTGAGCTATAAGGATTTTTATATATCGGATCAGGTAATGCACACCGGGATACCTTGAAAGTTATTTTCAGGATATATTGAGCGTTGTCGACGTCGGTTCTTGTGATTTTTCGACGAAAAGCCGATGTGAATGTGAGACTTGTCCGACGAGAACTACGACAACGGCGAGTACGACAACGATCAGATCGACGACCAGGAGGTTTGTTTACTTTACTTTACGTTTGTTTTACTTTCCGCTGGTGTATCGTGTACGTTACGCACCGTAACGTATCATATGGTAACTTCTGCATTTCAGAAAAGTTGACCCACGCCTTAACCCTCCAATGGCCTCAAAAATTGAGCGTGATCGGCTAAATTCACAACAGGCTCGTTCTGTCGGAGCAGAAGCTGAAGCTCCGCCCACAACAACTTCCTTTTTCTCGAGCTTAATCAAAGCATCACCTCAATTTTCTGTTACTTTTACGGTATCCTCAATGCTCTTAATATCAATTTTTCAACAGTTATAACAGCCTAAATACATTAGAGTATCTCAATTTTTCAAATAGTTCCATTTCCGGTTGATTTTCCCCTAAAAACCTCAATTTTTGCGAGCTTTGCCGAATACTATTCCAATTTTTTTGTAAGCAGGGTGCAAAATTTTATAGTTTGTAGCCACCTCTAGCTTTTGCTCAGCCATTCCCACACGCATTTTTTCTTTGCAAATTCACTGAATTTGTGCATCTGCCGAATTTGTGTTTTCACCAAAAACATGGGTCCCATATCAGCGATTGTGAATTAAACTACAGGACCCTCCTCGCCAAGGTATACTTAAAGGTATTTTTATGGATTTTTCCCTTTGTTGTTCCATCACATTTATTCCAATTTGCGACTATTTACACAGCGATTGATCGTTCCTTATTTTTTGCCCATATAAATAAATGCAAATCGGGTTGTTTGGCACGATGGTATCAGAGGGAAAGAGAGAAAAAGGGGGAGATCAAGATGAAATACGTTGAAAAAGGGCAATATGGCTTGTTAAAAAGCATCGAAAAGCGTTGCACTTTTGAAAACGTTGAAGCTTTTTGAGTTTAGATAATGGAGGCGTCAAAGGTTGAGCATTGCGACAACTTCGATGGTGCGCTGCGCTCGGAACGGAGGCTGACCGCACAGTTTTGACCATTTCGGAATTCCTTGATGAGCAGGCAGATGAAACGTGTCCATAGGGGCTCGTCGTCGGTGGTGGAGAGCTCCTAAAAATCTTATCGTGCTGTCTAGAGCTGGCTATTTTAGAAATCCGGTTTTTTGCAAGCATATCTACGTCTAGAATTGCATACTTTAAAGGAAAAAAAATAACTAACAAAATTTTTTTCTGTCGATTTTGTTTTCGACACGATCAATCCTCCGAAAGTGAGGATTTATTAACGTTTCAGCCACCAGCAATCGTCAATTTTTTTTTGTAGTTTAACTATCTTTTCCCTCAAAGACATACCTTTATAAAAATCTCCTTAAATCGTGACCACATTTTGGCGGTGATGTGCTCCCCTTTGTGTAGACGCCCAATTTCATTCAGCCGGAAGATCATTTCCCGCTCGGCATTTGGAGCGCCTGAACCAGGTTGTTTATAGGGCCCGTGCGTAGCTAATTGGTACGGAAGTTCGACTGCTGATCAGCCCAAAACGATAGCAACACGAGTTCCGCACTACACCTAGCTACACATCCACGATTTTCCGGTTCTACTTATGCCCTTTTCAAATTTTGATGCCTACAGTACGTACCAATAGCTTTCAGGAGCTCTTGAATAACACCCTTTATCCGATAGGCTTCCAGCATCCGCTCCACATCCTCATCATCGGCAATTATCGCCGAGCAGAGTCGCTGGGAGATCTCATCCAAGTCCTGGAATAACCGCAAAAATCGACTATTCCAACGGGCCACTATTTACGGAAGCCGGAAGGAAATATTTGAGGGTGGCTGCTGAAGTGGGGAAGGTTAGGGTCAGTGGGTGAATTTTACTAGGAAGAGGGTGATTCGAATAAGCTTTTCATGGGTCAAAGAGCAAGGAGCAAGAAACTACAAACTATAAAGAATCAAAAAATACCTTATGCAATGCTTTATCACGTAGATACCCAGCTTCGGTACTTGAAAACAATGTTTTCCGGATGGGGGAGTAGGTAACGGTTTTCTTCTGTTGCCGCCACCACCTGAAATTTGTAGTGTATAGGGAATTTCTCCACGTGTCAAAATTCAAAATTTATTTATTAATATAAAATCCATTCAAAATTTTCGTCGATACATACCTCATATAGACGATACTGTCCGAAGCACTATTGATCACCACCAACAAATTGCTCAACTCGACGCAGTACTTGAATGCCGGAGTTGACACGGCTTCCCCAGCTCCGACGGCCTAAATTTTTTGTTTAAATTTTTCATCTTTAATTATATAAATTTTTTTGTACCCTCAATTACCCCAAAATATCCACCCACTTTTTCCCATAGATTCAGCAGCATAGATGGGGCATTGCAGATGAGGAATTTTACGACGACCGTCAACAACATACGGGTTGTGTTCTCATTTCCCGTTTTTAGGCATGAAGAGGACCTTATAGAACAGAGATCAAGTGTAAAATACGATTCTTACCTGGCTTCCAGGGAACAGCGCAACTTTCTTGCGCTATAGACGATGAATATCATTCGGAAGGTCAGATAGGTCAACAGCAAAAGGGGTCCGAGACAGACGAACATTGCGTTGAGGACCAGGTGGTAGATTAATAGGTAGTTATCGTCGATTCTGAACGGAGTTGATGATAGTATCGAAGCTCATCAAAAACCAGATACTTTGGATTTCACTTACCTTAAGTTTGTCGGGAGAATTTTTGGCTTGGAAACTTCTTGGAATGGATCACAATCGTAGCTCAACCTCAGCTCGAAGGCCGTCGGAATCGAAAATATTGCTGCGGCAATTGCTAAAAACAAGGATACACATCTTAGTATATACTTTCGTAATGCTGGTTTTCAAAAGCCCACCAATCCCAGCCGATATCCTTTGCGCCCGCTGCCTCGATTCAGAAGCCCGATGTTGCAACGGCCTCGACAACGCAAAATACCGGTCCGCCGTCACCGTCAATAGCATCCAGATGGACAGGGCGAACGAAAACGATGAAACTGGATGCACGAAAACCGTGAGGAGTCTAAAAAGGATCTAGTTATACCGTTAATTCAATGTCTCTGGAAGTGAAATGCTCCAAAAACCCACATTAAGAACGCAATGGACCCAAACACCGGGCGAATCGTCTCCGCCAGCGCATAGTACCACAGCGTACACTGCGATATGCAAATGTTAGCCACGGCTAGGACGGATAGGTAGAAACGAACGGATCTGGACGGAATCTTGGTGACTGTAGCATTTTTCTTACCGTCGTATATTCAATTTGCATAGAATACTCAAGCTGTAGAGATTCCCAAGAGTTGATAGCATCGCAAAAATCAGGGAAAGGGGGCCTAAAATAATCATTTGTCCACTGGAGAAAGGTATTACCTGAAATCAGCCATAGTGAAAAATAGTCATCATGCGCCTCGTCCCCGCACAGAGTTTCCAGAATCGTGGTGTAATTCTCCTCGAGAGCCCTGTCTGACAAAGGGTCCATGACCTGGAAAAACATTAATAGATTCTATAATTATTTAATACACTTGAAAACAAAACATAATTCACGATCGAAAATCAACAAAACAATTATTGCCTGGAGAAATTCTCGCAATACAGAGTTCGCTGCGCTAGTTCGGGACGGGACCAGAATAACAGGTGCGCCCGGTGATCTTTTTGCAAATTCTCGAGTGCGGCCCTCGAAGATGATACTTGGGGCAACGATCCGGGCAAACATCGTGCATCAAAATAGAGAATAAAACGTTATGAGGCATAAAAACACAAAAATATGTTTGAAAAAAGCCGTTTTCATCGAATAATGGACAATACAGTGCCAGAAATCGGGTCAATAGGATTTGGGCGATTAATCCTGTATCGATTCTTGATATTTCAATTATTTGCTCGGCAGACCAAAATATCGGCAGCTCTCTCTCGCTCTCTCTCTTCGCTCTTCTCTCTCTCTCTCTCTCCTCTCTCTCTCTCTCTCTCTCTCTCTCTTCTCTCTCTTTGCTTCCCTCTCTAAAAGACTCAGGATCAAGGCAAAATGTCAGGAAGTACAGCCCCGGTTTTGCCCTCCTGGCATGGCCAGATAATTCCCAAGTCTGTTTCTTGCCATAACCCAATGAGTCGTTAAACCCACGCCACAACAATAGCCCGCCACCCCCAAAAAAAATTATGAAAAAGGGTCGTGCATGTGTGTGCGCGTGAAAACAGCGAACCCAGCCGCGGCCTTCCCCCGACCCGCAGCTTCGCTCCGGCTCCGGAAATGCAGTTATTTTGGAGTGGGTGGCTAAAAGGACAAATTAAATTTGCTGCCCCTAGACTCGGCCGGTTGGCTCTGCCCGGCTCATCAACAACGAAATGGGTCTCAAAAGCGGCGTGGTCTTGGCTTGGGGGTACTAATTGGTGGAAACGGATAGGCTAGACTAGTCGCGCCGAAAAATTGTGCCCGCGTCACAGTAATACACAAAAATTTTAGTTGGGCGAAATCCGGATTAGCAAATTTTTGAAGCCATTTTTCGGGGGATTTGAAGGGGTTTTCGAGCCTGAGGAGTGAAACTGACGTTGGGAAAACGGGTAGGCAAGCAGAGAGCGTTGAGGAAATGTCGAATTTTTTTAGAGATCGTCGAATCAATGAAGGGGACGTCAAAAGGACCCGTAAACGTGTGAGGGCGCGTCACGTGTCGCTACAGGCTACAGAGAGCGAGAGAGATCACAAAACCAGGCAATGTATCGTAGCCATACGTAACGCAACGCCTGGACCTTCCCAATCCACTTAAAAGTCAATTTCTGACATCACCCATTCACTCACGCCATTTATATCGGCGCAGATCTCTGCTTTCTAAGAAGTGTTATGTGAGAAATGTGAAGGGCGTGAGACCAGTGCGTGAATCCGGGGGCTCTGGGTGGTGGAGATGATACCCTCCCGCCTCCCCTCCATGGCTTGTATCAAATTTCTCGAGCCACAGGAGGAAGCGCCCGACACGGCGACATGAATTAGACTCGGGCGCGCGCAAAAATGGATGCCCTCGCGAAATGTGTGCAAATGGCCGCCGCGCGATAGGATGGGTGGGCGAGTTGCCAAAAAAGATGTCTGTCTAGTGGAGGGAGGAGGTAGATTAAAGGGAACACTAGAATGTTGTATTAAAAAAGAAGGGTAAAGGGATGGATGGCACACATCTTTCGAGTAATTAAAGTTGCCGTCGGTGATGTGGTGAAAACGAACGACAAGTAGAAGAGTCCGAAAGGTTGTCTGGAGGAAATGGGTAGATGCGGTTTTGTGTTTTGGGCGGAATATGGCGAAAGCCTCAAATTTGTCGGTGGAAGCTTGGTAACCGCAGAAACAATGGGATTTCGCAGGGTCAAAAATTAAAAACCTTAAGTACGATCATTTTCCCCACGCGAATTTCAGCAAAGTTGACGGTCAGGAAATCAAAGCCTGGAAGTCAACGCTTTTCGCAAAGTGTGATTCAGCACCAGAAAATAGGATTCTAAAAAACTGAAAAATCCTGGCCGTTTTCCAGAAAAAAAAGCTAATTTCCTGTTCTGCAAACCCACGTGCTGCAAGCCATTCGTTTTATGCCCGCTCAAAAAAGAGCACTAACAGCTGATGGGGACATCCAACATCTCAGCTTTAACCCCTAATGCAATGTTCTGACCACTTTCCGAATTGTTTGCCTCTGTACTCTTGCTCTTTCACTACCTCTCTCTCTCTCTCTCGCTCTTTCACTCTCTCTATCTCTCTCTCCTATCAGGGCATTCATGGGGTCCAACCGCGAAAATGGACACGGCTGGTCTCCAGAAAGTGAAAAGTCAGGGTTGATGTTTTCCGAATAAAGCAAGAAAGAAAAAAAGGAAGAGACAGAGAGAGAGAGAGAGCGAGAGAGAGAAAGAAAGACAGAAAGGGGGAGAGAGAGACGGCCTATGCATTTCTGGGTTCGTTGGGTCGAGGTTGGTCAATGGACGAGCGGGCCAGCTTGGAAAAAAACAAACTGGGGCAGTATGCTGATGTCTTCAAGAAAAGATAAATAAACTGCATTAAAACTGGACGCTATTGAATTTAACGAGTTTATTAAAAATTACAACACAAAACCGAGGGTCCTATTTTTCACCCATAAGAACATGCATTTTTCTAATTATTTGCGCATCTCCGTCCCCCCCCCCCCTTGCATGGACGAACCCCTGGTTTTTTTATTAATATCTATGCCGCCCGAGCAAATTGGGTTCTGATTTAGCCGCCAGGAAAACTCCATTTTTCGGACTATGCCTAAAATGACAAACGCCAAGCCAAAACCGTCGAAAAATATTTCCGAGCTGTCGTGTTTGAGATTTTAGTGCGCCGAGTTCCCAGGAAAATCAAAAGTCAATTAGAACTTGGTCGGAAAACCGAGCGGAGAACCTCAAATGTTCTCACCGGCCCAATGGGAGGTTCCCAGAATTTCTGTCAATTTTCCGGTTACGTAAAAAAATCAACTGGGTGTGTGTTTTTTGCGGGGAACATTTTGTGAACCTGAGGGCGTATGGCCGGCACGCGAGGGGAGGACAGAATTTGTAGCGGGAATTTAGGGGTGCCCTTCAAGAAACGAAAGAAATGATGCTGAGGAAGGGGGTAGTGAGGATGAGGTATTGTAATGTAAAACCAGGAGAGTTTTGCCTACAAAATGATCGTGACCACGAGGGGTACGGTTGGTTTGAATCATTTTTCGTGGTTCTAGAAGGTCACCCTTGATATGGGAAGGCTTTAGCTGCTTGCAAATTCCAAAAAGGTACTTAAAAAGCTGAGGCTACGTTGGAGGGCTATTGATGGCAATGTCCGCAGGCGCGTTATGCAGCTGTAAGCTGAAAAACAAGATAATCTAGTGTCTTCCTACATTTAATACGAAATAATACTCTCTACACCTAAAATTCAACGAATTTTCAAGGTATGAAAAGCTGTAGATTTGCTTTCTACGGCCCTTTAAATACGCGAAAATGCTGGGAAATGTGCCTTGGACTGAAATTACAACCAAGACACCTAAATACCTTGGCCGCCCTGTCTGAAAAAATCGTGCTCAAAATGTAGCCAACCCCGCTTCACCGCGCGACGTCTCAAATAAGATGAAAAAGCATGTTTTCGCGGGCGCTACAGCTTTTTGAGAGCAACCTGATGATTTCTCCGACCACTACCAATGTTCGGTAACCCTTCTAGCTTTAATAGATCCACGATGTGTCACGATTCCAAAGGGGGGCTGACACTAACAAAGCCTAGGGCTTTTGGAGTCTGGACGGGACCCAGCTAGTCGATAGAGAAAAAATTCTGAACACCATGCCATTTCAAAAGTGCGATCGATAGAGGAATTTAGAAAAAATTAAAGCGCGCTTCTAGTTTCGCGTCCATTTCCTGGTTCACGTCGTTTTCGGGGCTGAGCAAGGCGCTATTCATAACCTTCCGCCAAGACCTCCATGACACATTGCATTGGCGTATTGGTAGCACGCTTGCCTACCAAATTTTTAACATTTTTTTGCCTCGGGTTCAAATCTTCGCGCTGGCTAACCGTTTGCTTTGGTTCTTGAACCGTTATCGGTGCAGAAAATAAATAGCAAAAAGCAAAGAGTTAACAATAAATAGAACGAACGTGGCCAAAAGGCCAAAACTTCGTAGGCCAACGCACTAGCCACTTGACCATGCATAGGACGGGACCGAGAGCGCGTGAAGTCCCCATCTGGCGGGGGCGGTCGCCGGCCGCAAATCACCCCAAATCACCTCAAGGGTCCGGATACCGGGAACATTTTTAATTAAATTAAATTTTCTAAAACACCTTTAGCGATCAGCACTTTTTGAAAACGGGATGTTGCTCAGAATTTTTTTCTCTATCGAACTAGCTAGGTCCGGTCTCGAAAGTCCAAAAGCACCTAAAAACGACTCCTTGTTAGAAACTGGAAGATCCAGGGCCACTTTGAGGGCCGGGTGGCGTCTTGTTGCGTGAAAACAACTAGTAAGGTAACGGCCAAAAAATGAATTGAAGGTAGAAGTGAGATCCCTGAAAACTAAGTAGTAGTAATAATCCTGACTGATGACAAAAACGTAATTTTTTCGCGTGCTCCAAAGCTCTGCTTCATACACCGATAGGAGTTGAGAGGCAGCAGCCAAGGTATCTAGTTTACGTTGATAGTAGAGTATAAAAGCCAGCTCGCCCGGCGCAAAGTGGAGTTAAGTTGTTGTTGCGGTCGGAATTTGCATTCATTAGCATCCGTATGGCCAGTTGGAGAGAAAAGGGGAAAGCAATTCGGGAAGCTCAACAAAACAGCGTCATTTTATCGAAATTCGCCGATTTGCGACAACAGTTTTTGGCATTCGTTGGTGTGGTCTTAAAATGAGAAAATAGAAATGATAGAGGTGGGAGTGGCATGCGTAAAGTCCAGAATTTCGAGAATTCGCGGGTATGTGAGCAAGCTAGCAAAGATCTTTAGGGAATTCTGGCCAGAAGAGAAAGGGTGAAAGAGCGCAAGAGATAGATAGCAAGA